GTAAACTCAGTGACTCCCAACCTTATGTTGAATTGTTCAGTATTCACCATATTGAAATATTCTTAAGATTATGCTCACAAGGTAGAAAATAGCATTTTTATTTGCTTTGTTGAAATCTGGTTCTTTCTTTCAAAAATTAATGCATAATTTTCCTAATTATTGCTTTTTTTAAAACTATGATAGTTTGTTTCTACTTTGTATTTAGCTTATGCAGACCAGCTAGAGAAAACTTTGAAAGGGACAGTCCGTTCTTTAGGGAGCAGGTTATAGATTAGAGCTGGGTCCAGCCAGGGTAGGGGAATTATATAGTTTTACATTTTTACCTTATGTAAATATGACCTCATTTTGATAGATACGTATTTTTATTCCAATAAGTACAGATTATTATAAAGCCAACTATAAATGGTTTTAATTGCCTGAGTTTCTTATGTTCTTTGAAGTCTGAAAGTAATCAAATATTCATTATTAACTACCCAGTCTCTTCAAGGAGAGATTAATGGATTTTGAGAGATCGCTTAGTGGCACAGAAATGAATAGTTTGGTTAGGATAGGCTCTATAATTTTCTAAAGTTGAATACATTTTTAGACAACTGCTTGTTTGCCTTTTTTGTAGCATGTTAACGCAACTCTGGACCTGATCGAGGGCAGCATGACTGTTTGTACAACAAAGAAGACTTTTGATCCATATATCATCATTAGGGCCAGAGACCTAATAAAACTGTTAGCAAGGAGTGTTTCATTTGAACAGGTAAATTTAGAATTACAGAGGCTTTGCTTTATGTGCATCAACATTGGAGAAAACATACAACGCTGTTGCCCGCCGCCACCCATAAAGTTTACGTTTTCGTGCTTGTATATAATTGTGTGCTTAATTTCTGGGTTTGGAAAAGAAATACACTTGTAAAGAATGTTGATGGAATATTTTCTTTATTTTCCCAAAAGGCAGTACGAATCCTTCAGGATGATGTTGCGTGTGACATCATTAAGATAGGCTCTTTAGTAAGAAATAAAGAAAGATTTGTAAAAAGAAGACAACGGCTTATTGGTCCCAAAGGATCTACATTGAAGGTACTTTTTATTAGTGAAAGAGTGTGTCTTCCTCTATCATTAGTTTTTCAGTGTACTGACCCTCAGCTTATTGCTCTTTTGATATAGGCATTGGAACTCTTAACAAACTGTTACATTATGGTTCAGGGAAACACGGTTTCAGCCATTGGACCTTTTAGTGGCTTAAAAGAGGTGAGGACTATTTGCTCTCTTAAGTTAATTTTCAGCAGAGAACGAATGAAATAACATGGGTGTAATATAATAGTTCATTGGATAACATACTGTTTTGTAATTTTTTTTTTTAGAATGTGCTTTGTTTGATTTTCTATTAGTAAATTCTTTGTACTGCATGTAATTTGAGGGAATCGTCACTCCTGGACTCTAACATATCATGACCAGCCTTTGGTAACTACAGAGATCTGTTTCTGAATTAGAAGGTCTGCACATCATCCCTCCTCCACTGTAGATTTTAGGTGGGCATTTAAGATCGTAGTCTGTCGCACACGTGAGAAGCACGATGTGATTCTAGGTGTTCAGGTTACTGGAGAGTTGAGCAGAGAACTTGTTCTTTGCAGTAACGTATACAGCCAGTAGAGGTCAGCCTCAAAAAAACTTCCCTTAAGATACATTTTCTGTTTGAATTTTAATGTAATGTTAATTCAGTGTTTTCATGAACATTTTATTTGGCTTGTCACATTAAATGTTATGAGAAAGTTTGTGGAGCAGATAGTGTTCCTGTTAGTTCCTTTTGATGCTGTTGTCTGTATCTGGCTGTGAGATCTTGCTTCTTCCTTTCCAGGGCCTTTAACAATAATTCTGTTGGACCTGTTCCTCATAAGTTATCTGCTTTTTTCTCATGGGGCAATACTAACTTAAATATATTGAATATTTTTTAGTTTTTTTAAGTCTAAATGTATTATCTAATTCTTAGAACAGACCCTTAAGGTAGTTTTATTTCCATATTACAAATGAGAAAGCTGGAACAGGAAAATTAAGTGACTTCCCCATGTGAAGTGGCAGTCTCATTATTTGAGCCCATATTTTCTAACTCTAACTCACTCTTCCCCCTGAACTGCACAGCTGCAGAGTGTTGTGCTAATTCTGTGTGTTGCTTCTTAGCAGTAAAGTTGAGAAACTTCATTGTTTCCAAGGGAGGTTGACTATTATGAAAGATACAGAAGCCACTCAGAACAGCTGAAGGAGCTACTGTATTCAATTTGTGCCATTGCCTGGTTCATAGGCTGTTTTGTGATGTATTAATCCTCTTCTACCAAGTTCACTAAAATCTTTATAAGTGACTGATTTTTTTTTTTTTTTTGCCAATTTCAGGTTCGAAAAGTAGTCCTAGACACTATGAAGAATATTCATCCAATTTATAACATTAAAGTGAGTGTTCATTATATTTTACTGTAACAGTGGTTATCCTTTTTTTTTTTTTAGCCACAGAAACTTTTCTTGAAATTAAATCTTTTATGAAAGCCTCATACACAAAGCAGATGCAGCAGAGCTGCTCTGGGTGAAGCAGAGGTAGAGTTTAGCCCATTCAGCTCTGTCCCAGTCCTGTAGTGGCTGCCTTGGAAGCTTAGGTCTCTGTGGAGTTACAGTTTGAAAATTATTGAAGGAGACCCTGAAATATATTGACATAGTTTTAATACAAAGAAAATAAACTTCATAGAATTTGTTGTACATGGTACCAATCCAGTTTTCTTAGGTTGTGAGCCCATGTACTATATTTAAAGATGTGATCTTTCAGAATTCTGCTTTTTTCTATAAATAAAGTCTGGAATATTTCAGATTGCATTCAAACCTTTTTTGAAATTTAACACTCAAATGAGAGGCTCACTGAGAGAGATCTGCTATATATCCCTGTGTCTACTCCGTTCATGATTGTTCTTGGAAACGTAACCATGGTACAGTGAGCTGTTTTGTGATGGAATTTGATGAAATTAAGTTAAAAAGTCACTCAGATTGGAATGAAAGAACAATTTTGAGTTACATTGGGACATTAAAGATAAAGAGAGCTAGTCTGCTAGTCTTGCTTTTGATGCCTGGCTTGCATCCTCTGATGTTTCAGTGTCTATAAAATTCATATGGAGTGGGGCAGTGTGAAAATACTGGTTTTGTTGATCATGAGAAACTATAATATTTTTTTTCCCCTGTGATATTCAGGTGCCACTGAAAGCTTCCTGCTTGTAGGAAATACCACTAATTAAGGACTCTCCCTGCTGTTTTTAAGTTGAATTTTAAAGGTTTTAATGAAATAATGGTTGGAAAGATGAGTTAGTCTTACTTTCCTCTCAATTTATTGTAACAATTCTGCATTTCTTAGTCTAAACTTGTAATGGTTTTCTGATTATTCATTAATTATGCATATTTGAGATTACATTTTTCCTTATGGGTTTGTTTTAATCCTAGTGAAGAGGCTAAGAACTGTTCTTTTAAATTTTATTATTTATAGGAAAAATGTCTATAATGTCTTAGTTTGAGAGATGTATGACTTTTAAAATTAAAGATGTTTACTTTGTTCATATATTGCCATGATTGAAGACCTTAATGATTAAACGAGAGTTGGCAAAAGATTCTGAGTTAAGATCACAAAGTTGGGAGAGATTTTTGCCACAATTCAAGCACAAAAATGTGAATAAACGCAAGGAACCCAAGAAAAAAACTGTTAAGAAAGAGTATACACCGTTCCCACCACCACAGCCAGAAAGTCAGGTCGGTATACTGTGCTGAATTTCTTTACATGAAGGGGAAACCATTTTCATCTGCTTTGTCAGAAACTTTGAGCGTACTTTAGGTGGAGTTTCTGTGTGTGTGTGTGTTTGGGTGTATAGACATACAAGAAACTGAAGGTAATAATAGGCTTATTTCAAACTAAGTGGGCTGAGGAGTGGAGGCTTCATACTGTGAGTGTAAACTACATCACGGTGGCTGGTGTCAGTTGTGTAACTGTAGCCAGTGTGAATGTTCCATGGATATAAAATTCAGTGATTTAGGCCCCAGTTCTTTCTACTCTGCTGTAGCATCATTCGTGTGACCGGGTGCTGTATGATTGCTTCAGTTCTGAAATCTGAAATTCTAACATCTGTCCTTTTTCTAACATATGAATGCCTCTCGTTTTGTCAGCTGTCTTCTGACATCACTTCCTTTCTAAAATTTCCTTTCTCTCTTACCCATCACTGTTTTCTTTCCTGCTCCCTTTTCCTTCTGTCTCACCTGCCCAGCAAAACTCTGAAACTTGACTCCTTTCCCATAACGTGGCTGCCAGACATAGTTGGAGAAAGTCGTATCTTTGGATTATATCCCCTAAAACTTCTTGCTTCCAGCCTCCGATAGGTCTTCAGTCTTGTCTGGCAGCTGTGTGCCTTCTTAATTCTTAGGCACCTCCTGCTTCTAGCAGATGACGTTGCATTTTATTTTATTGAAGTATTTGAGACCACCAGGCAAGAACTCTTTCAACTTCCTCTTATCTCAGTTTTTTTTCCCCATCTGCATCAATCCTTTCTTTACCCATTTCTTGAATTCTGTCCTCACCTGTCTTCTAGGTGAGGGGTCTTGTGTCATTATCCCCTCCCTTGGCTGCATGTTAGTCTCCCCTCTCTACTAGTCCTTTGTGCTCAGCAGGTAAACCCATCCCTTTTTGGGTACTGTCTTGTCTTTCCCACAGCCCTGTGTTTGTAGTTTTTCAGGGAGGGTTTAGTAAAAGGTCAAAGGGGAAAAAGGAATGATGATTGTCATAGAAAAAAATAATAGTAATGGAAATGTTGGATCATAAGGTCTGCTCTGGAAGGGGAAGAAAGTGAAGCCGGAAGGAAGCTGTTAGTTGGAGGAAAGTGGAGTGATCCAGTAACTAAAGCATGCTTTTGAAACACCTGAAACATTTTGTATGGCCCTGCCTCTAGTCAGTAGTCGTCTCATCTTCTGCCATCGCTTGAATCAGTGATGTCTCATTTGACTTACTCAGCCACTTACTTGCTGTGTTATTATGGGCAGTTTATGTAACGCACCCACGCCTCAGGTTCTCCATACATAAAACAGGGATAGTGATAATACCTATCTCAAAGACTTGTTAATGAGGCTAAGTAAACTAGTAACTGTAAATAGCTTAGTGATAGTAAACAGTTAAGAGCACTGCCTTGGAGATAATAATGCTCTGTGAGTATCAGATCAATTATATTATATATTGATTACATATTGAGTGAGTGAGCTCTTGCTTTCTCTGATTAGTATTTAATTAGTCACCGTATCCTGACAGTCCTTGGCTTTTCATTTTGTGTGCCACAGCCTTTATTCCAGGCTTTCATCTCTTCTCCTTTTTTCTGCCCTTTTATAAAGTGCTGCTTTGCTCTGTTGTTCACTCTTCTCAGGAACCTTCCGGCATTTCTGAATCACATCCTACCTCCTTTATCCATCATTCAGGTTTCTTCAAGCTTCCCCTAAACCAGCTTTCCAGTTTCCTCTCACACTTTTCTGAATCACTGACCTTCCACCCACCTAAGCAGTCTGTGGATTCCCTGGACACATCACTGCCATCCTCCCTACGTGCTCTCATGCATGTATTCTTCTCAGCTTTGAGCACATTTCCTTCTTTTTACGTCACTACCTGTACATAGAGTTTTGGCGCCACTATCTTTACCTCAAGGTCATTGTGACTTTCTTAGGAATTGACCACTCATCTACATTATTTCTGACGTAATTGTAAATACTGATTTCAACAGATTGATAAAGAATTGGCTAGTGGTGAATACTTTTTGAAGGCAAGTCAAAAGAAACGACAGAAGATGGAAGCCATAAAGGTAAGACTGTCTAGCTTACAACATTAATTGTAAACTTCATAGAAACTTGAATTTGTATTTAACTATAAAATGTTTTACTAACGTATTTTTTAAATTAATGATGTAGGCTAAGCAAGCAGAAGCGCTCAGTAAGAGACAAGAGGAAAGAAACAAAGCTTTCATTCCACCTAAAGAAAAACCAGTTGTGAAGCCTAAGGAAGGTAATGCTTGTTCTCCACCTCTTGGTGTGACGTAAAAGTCTGTCATAGGAAGAGTAAACCCTCAGTGAGTTGTCTGAATCTGAGTGTTACGTAAAGAAGTAACCATGTCTTTCATCAGTTCTCTTAGCATTTCACTAATCACTGATCCTAAGGACAAGAGGTGACTGAGGCAATTTACAGCTGAGTAGCAGCAAATGCCAATTTAAGGATATCCCAGATTGGCAGTCCCTTCCTGACCTTTTGCTTGTGCTGAGGAAGGACTCTGTTGTGAAAGATGTCAACCAGAGTAGTGAATCCTCTGTAAAAATAAAAGTTAAGCAGTAAGATCGCTGAGCTCTGCTATCACGGCTCTCAAAGAGAGCTTATCAGAAGCTGTGCTTTGCTTTACGTGTGTGATCTGTGGCCTGAATTTTGATTCCTGTATTGTTAATGTGGATTTCTCATCACCTTGGGCTAAAAGACCCCAGCAAAACAACAGGAAGATCTTTCTTTTTCAGGGGCTATTTAAAAAGGCACTCAGAGAAGACACTGCAGTGCCTTTTTGGCTCGTCCCTAGCCTCATTTCGATCTATCCTTCCTCTTTAGCATTTTCTTTTCCACTATTAACACTTGCACTCTTCAGAGTGGTCAGTGGCGCAGTGAGGAGAGGAAGGTCACCAGCAGCACTGCCCGTGACCGGTTGGCCAAAGCCAGATGTAACATCGCCATTTTAGTAATTTCTGTCAGTGTTAACGGCTTAAAAAATACTGTATTCTACTGTCTAGATCATTGGTTATACAAAAGCTAAATAGCATGAGCATGGTGGTTTCTGGCTGGTGCAGTGTGTCAGTTGTGTATGTTGAAGGTACTCAATAGCTAGTTTAATCTGTTTATTACTGATGAGAAGTGTGGCTGTTCCCCTGGAGCAGAGACTTTAAATCTACTCTCGAGGTCCTGGGTAGTTTGTATGATACTATTCTTTTTTCCCCCTTCTGAATACTGTTCTTTAAATGATAAAGAGAAGCTGCATGTTCTCACTGCTTCCTTTCTCCAGTTTGTTCAAGCTTTTGGCATTAATTAGATGGTTGGGTTCTGTTAGGAGGACCTCCAGATACTCTCAGATTATCTTTATTACCAAAATCTTACTAAATGAAATACTACT